TTAGCAATGATGTGGCTAAATGATGATTAGCCTTAAAATGCTGCTCCCTAAATTCTGGCAATTCAGCAGATGATTTGGCTGCAGCTCTGCTGTCTATATGGCAGGGGCTGGGGCAGTAACATTGTCAGCCCTTCCTGGAGAAGCCATCCCTGCCCCTCAAGTAATAGGGTAGATGCCAAATTCCAATGAGTATGTTTTTAAGATGCGTAAGAGACGTACTAATATCTCTGCAACAGCAGATGAGTAAATACAAAATAGGGATTCAGGGATTAGTTGTGCAAAATCTGATGCTTTTGGGCTTTATCTTTGGACTGGGAGGAGGGATGCAGAATGCCAGGATCATTCCAGGCTCAGCATGTATTGTGCTGGCCCAGAGGTCCACTTGTCAGCAAAGAAAACTCATGGACCGAGTAGCTGGAGAGCTCAGCTGAGCAGAGCAGCAATGAGAGACTTAAGGCTGCCAGTGCTGGTTTCTCTCTCCAGATCTAATCTCAAATACCCACTACAGAAGCAGTAATACCAGCTTTTCACTGCCTTCATTCCTATGTACTTACTTGCAAAAACCCCCAAAAGTTAAAAATTGCCAGTTCAGAATCATAACAGGCAGCGACAGATGAAGGCTAGTCGCATGTTCTGTCTTTTTCACCAAACTGTAATCTAGTGATACTTGATAAGGCTAAGAGGATGATGATTTACTATGGCTAGACTGACATGCAGCAGCTCAGTGTGAACCAGTACGGCTGCTAAAGCATTTCTAATGTGAAACCACAGCTTTGCAACCTTCAGTAGTTGGACTGTGTGTCCCTACCTTGAGAAAAGACTTTGTTAGACATCAGAGTCACCTTCAAATTTGTTCTTCATTATCCATCCTCTCCTTCCAGATAAATGGGAGCCTGCTGGAAACATCTTATTTCTCAGAAAAGTTGTGGATTCTGTATAGTGCTGCTTAGCTGGAGCTTGGCTCAGTCTATTCATTCATTTAGTGACAGGTCTCTACATGACAGATCTTAACTTAATGTAAAGCTTATCTTAAAAAACACCAGTAGTTTTCAGCTACTGCTTCTAAAGCATCCCCCAACATTGACTATGAAAAGTACATTCAGCCATGCAGGATCTCCTTTCAAAGCACAGGAGCTCTTGCAATACTTGCTTTTTAAAAGGAGGTTGCAGTTTCCATGCAAAATACTCAAAGGTCTGTGAATTAGAAAATGTGGAGATGTCTGATACAGAGAATCCCTGAAAGGCACAGGTGAAGAACCTCACAAGGAGAGAGGGGGCATAGCTACTTCTATTAAATCTAGATCCTGATAGAACACTTACCTTCAAATAGCTTATTGGTTCTAGAAATCATAGCTTTATAAATTGCAAACATTTATAAGAAATGAAAAGAGGAAACGATATTTATACCAACAAACTTTAACAAAATCTTTAGTGTAAAATCATCATAAAAATCAAGTTAGAGAAAGATTAAGCAGCTGTATAGGGTATAACCAGACTGCCGTTAAGCTAATCTGGTTCAAAACACATATGCAGGGGCATTTGAACTGTGACAGCTGAAAAAAAGAGTTTCACAATTACATCAGCTTTTCAGGCTGAGCTGTTACTATCATTCACAGGAAAATAAACCAGTGAGTGACTAAACATTAAAAAAAAATTATGACAGGGTTCCCCCATTATATTTTTCGAAAGCAATGAGACCAACTCTCCCCTATTGTGACTCACATGAAGTCAGCAGAGATTCACCAGGGCTGAATCCAGTCCCATAGGTCTAAATCTAGAGGGCCGTGCACCCTTTGTTGCTCCCATCGCTCAAGCCATGGCATGGGCTGGGGGTGGCCAGCAACCTGCCTCCCACCTTTTGGAAGCTCCTGCCAGCCCTGCTTCCAGGGACTTCCTGCAACCCGGCCCTTCCCCCTTGCCAGAAAGGCTGCTTATTCCCCCATTTCTCCTCCTCCCATACCCGTACACCTCCCTGCTCTCACCCTCCGGATCCTGCTCCCAAGGGGCTCCCCCAGCAGATCGTCTTCCCCCCGCCCAGAGCTCATGGTCCCTCGTGGGCTCTGCAGCTCCGGGGACTGCTTCCCCCCGCGCCCCAGATACACCTTTCCTGTTTTTTGTTTTTCAGCATGGGTAAGCCCGCAGTGTGGGTGCCCTGGCTGCTAGCACGTGTGCTCTTGCACCAGCCCCGGTCCTTCCCAGTGCCGGTACACAAATCCGCTTTGCACCTCCCCGCGAGCACTCTGGCTGAGCACCCCACAGCGAGCACAGCACCGGAGCCAGTGGTGCACTGTGACCTGCACCTCACATTTGTCCCCACTGAGCAGGGAGGTGTGCGTGGACATGGGCCCTAATGCCACAAGCGCTGGCACCCATCGGTCACCCCATCAGCCCCTCAGCACCCTGCGTCCAGGAACGACCCGCTGGGTTACCTAAAGGTGGTCTCTGTTTAACCCTGTTTCCTGCAGCCAGCCCTGCTGCACTCTGATGTGCAAAACCAGCTTTTTATGTTCTCAACACTTCAAACTTCTGCTGGAGGAAAAAGCAGAGTTGAGATGGTGCCTGGTGGGGTGTCAGGCCAGAATGTTTTAAAGGCTGGGAGCAACTCACCTTTTAAGTCTTCAGAAAGTACAGACTGGCAAAAGCCACTAGCCATGCTACATATTCTGAGAACCTACCCATCTTTCATTTCTTGCTCTTATTTGCACCCTGTCAGTATGGTTCTGCCACCAGTGCTGACATTCTGGAGTTGGATATGTGTAAAATTCAAAAATTACTATGTCACATCCTAGTGGACAAGGGCAGAAATGGCCTTAGGTTGAGCATATGGTTTTACATGGCCTAGCTACCAAAATGATGTGTCTTTCTTATCATTGGAATATGGACAGATGTTACTACAAGCTCCAGTTACAGTTAAATGTGTGTTTCAGGAGTTGTAAAAGTGATTGCAGTTGGAACACAGCATTTTTTTAACTTGATCATATAATTTACTAAGAAAAAAAATGCAGGTTTTATTTTCCTACCTTCTCCTTAACCCCTACAGGCTGTGATATTGTATGTGTAAATTCAAATTAACACTTCTCCCATCTGGATATCTGTGTATTTAAATTGGAGGTTCGGAATAACATTTTTC